AAATGAGAGACATCTGTAATGCTGTCAACAATAAAAAAAAAAAAGACTGATGATAAAGTCAAACAAAAGATTCCTTCTTTAAAAAAATTTTAAGGGAGATTCTTTTAAATTAATAACTTAATATTTAAATTATTAAATTAATGTCATCAAAAATTAATGAATTTGAATGAATAATTGCATATTGATACATTGTTTCTCCTAGTTTACATGTAAAACTAAAGAGCTCAGTGCGTCCCCTTTCCTAGGAGTTGGACGGTCGATGGAGTCCAAACTGGCGTCGTTGGGAATTAAGACTTGTGGAGACCTGCAGCACATGACCATGGCAAGGCTGCAGAGGGAGTTTGGTCCCAAGACAGGGCAGATGCTTTACAGGTTCTGCCGTGGTTTGGATGACAGACCAGTTCGAACCGAAAAGGAAAGAAAATCTGTTTCGGCTGAGATCAACTATGGAATACGGTTTACCCAGGTACTGGTCTCTTAGTGGGTTTTACATTATATTGTCCTTTATTTTCACTTTGTCTTACCTTGTCAGCTAGACCAGACTCTTGGTACTTGACATTAAGTCTTAAAACTCTTGCTATTCCTAGTGCTTATAGAATCTTTTTTAATAGATGCTTAGCAAGACAGTCAATAATGTACATGCATAATACTGAAATTGTTAGGTATATAGGAAAGTAACATGGGAGCTTTCTCGGTATGTCTTTTCATAGCCCAAAGAAGCAGAAGCTTTCCTTCTGAGTCTTTCAGAAGAAATTCAAAGACGACTTGAAGCTGCTGGCATGAAGGGTAAACGCCTGACACTCAAAATACTTGTGCGGAAGTCGGGGGCCCCTGTAGAACCTGCAAAATTTGGAGGCCATGGAATTTGTGATAACATCGCCAGGTAAGCTTATCTTAAAAAGGATACTGGGTATTAATATTTCAGTGCAGGTTATTACAATTAATAGAACACCAAGGAAGAGTATGAATAAAGATCTGTAAACTACCATGTTACGTGATATATTGCAGCAGCAGGTCAGCCTATTACGTGTTCCTGACCCTTGGCAGCCTATCCTTGGGATCTACAGGCTGTTGACTTTAGTGCAGGGTCAGAGAGAAAGGACAGGAAAGGCCTAGCACCTGCGCCCAGAGATGGCTGTGGACTTGGTGAAAGGGACCCATTGGGAAATTTCAGTACAGTAATTCAGTGAATGATTTGAGTGATATTTTTGCTTCATTTAGGCAGGTCTAATTTCTGTTCATGAAAAGTTAACCATTGTAGTCTCCGAAAACTGGTAGAACACATTCAAAAACCCTTGTTTTTTTTAACGTAAGGGCCACATATATAAAACTTCAGCTAAGAATTGTGACCAGTATGAAAATACTTAGTTTTGCATGCCATTTTATACTGCACTGCACACTGTTTTATATCTGTTGGTCAGCTAAAACCTTGAGACTTTGGACCCTGAAAGCCACATATACTGTATATAAGGAAAGGGTTAGCTCATGCCAGCCATCGATCCCATTTGCATTTTATAGAGATGCTGCTAAGAGTAACCAGAGGATGCTGCCTGTCACAGAAAACTTCCAGCTCTATCATTACTGTCTTGTACCAGGAAAATGGATTATAAATTACACAGTGAACCACGTAATTTATAAAATCCATTTTCATGCAGTGGGTAATCTTGAACTGATAGGCTTACCAGTTTTAATGAACATTGGATGTACCTCTGTTTCAGGTGGTAGGTTGTTAAATACAGTGATAGTGGTCATTTCTATAATAAATTGGTTATTAGGACCCTCCTCTGGATAATTTTTTTTAAAACATGGTTTCTATGTGAAAATCAGATCCAGTTCACAATATACCTTTTCTGGGAATGTGACCTGGAGCTTTATTTGTTCAAGGTACATGGAAAGGATTATCCAAAAATGAAGTAATTCTTCTTTGGAAGGAGAACTGATAGTAGTTAGCTGCCTGCTGCCACGTATGCACTTTCAAACATCTTACAGTTACTTAGCATTGTGCCATGGTGCAGTCAGCAGCACCTAGGGGCTCACTGTCTAATCTTAGTAAGAAAATCAGCTTTCACGTCATCCTCTTTGGAAAAATCCAGGTTCTCCAGAAATCTGATTGCAGCATTTAAAAAACTGGGATTGATTATGCTTTGTTTCCCCTAACTCAGAATATTTCCTCAGTGTTTGTATAAGCGCGTATCTGTTTGTTGCTGTTGGTATTTGTTTTGTCCTGAACTTTAAAAAAAAAGTTTTATTATGAAAATTTTAAACATATAATACAAAAGTAGAAAGGATAGTGTAATGAGCCCCCATGGGCCCGTCACCTGATTTCAACAATTGGTGTTGGCTGCCCCTGTAGCATTCTCCCCCTGCTCCCCAGTTGTTTTGAAGCAAACCTCAGCTACTGTATCATTTCTTCCACATTATCGCAGTGTTTATCTCTAACAAGATAAGACATTTTGCTGTGCTTTTAACATACTAACTTACATGACATATGATGATGCAAAAGGAGCACATGGAAACTGTCATTTTATAAGTGTCACCAAGATACAGATGAACTGACTCCTAACACTATGGTGGTATCATGACCGTGAGAAATGCTGTAGGTGAGGGACTACAAAATATTAGAACACTGACCCTCTGTTTCTCTTAATTCAGGTCCACAAACTACTTCCTGTGGGCCTAGTGCAGCCTGTGCCTGTTTTTATATGATTGGTGTGAGGGAAGGATGACTTTATATGAGAGCTTGTGAGAGATGAAGCATGTGGAGGAGACCCCCAGGCACAAGTGACTTATGTTGGTCCTTTACAGAAAAGTCTGTGGAGTCCTGTTGTAGTCTGACTAAAGGAATGTTCATTCGAGTGAATTAAGATCTGGTCTCCATATTCTGTGATGCTGTAATTTCTTGTGCTTGGCCTTAATCAAAAGCTACCTTGCAGTCATGTGGCTTACAGACTCTGACACATTATGAACCTGTAATAGAAACGACAAATTTTAAGTGGCCTGTCAGACCTCCATGGAGACTGAGGTCTGTCTGGCTTGATTATTGCTTAGAAAATTTTTCTTACAGCACTTTACCTTTTGGAAAAGGAATCTTTCTCCCTTGGAGTTCTTTTATGTACGTGGGTTTTTAATTTGAATTAATTTGAGTTAAACATGTATATCTGCCTTATCACAGTGATACACATGATTGAAAAGGTGTCACACACAATGCTGTCAGTGCTGTGCACCCCCAGCTCCCAAGTGCTGTTCTTTTAAACATTAGTGGTTTCTTCTGATATTTACCTCCATGTTTTTAGATATGCTAGAAATAGCACTTCCTGTACATATTTCAGTTTTGCAAACATGCTCACTGATTTTCTCCTGTAGGAGGATTTATGCTCTTCTCTCTTCTGCTGTCAGTTACTGTTTTCCCTATGTGCTTGTTTCTCTGCCCCTAATAGTCACTGGGTTTTGGTTCATTCATGGTCTAGGGTTACATTGTCAGAACCCTGTGCTGCTGCACAGAGCGATCCCATGGTCATGTTTCCTCTCCTGTTGCACTTGTTTTGCTCCAGTTACTGAGTATCTTGTTTTGTTTGTTTGCTTTTCTGTGAGTCGGCCGGAGGTTATTCCCAAAGACCCTTCCAGTAGGTTTCAGTACATCAGGGGTCTGCTGGTTTCATCTTTTTTCTGGGAGACCTCTCTTGGGACCCCCAGCCTGCTGTTCCAGGCTTGGTTGGTTTATTTCAAGACCCCCTGCAAAGTCTTTGCTGTGGTCTGTGTGGGCGCATGGAGTACATTGTTTTAAACCTGTGTATTTTGCTGACTTAAAGGTTATAAATATCACTTAGAGTCATTTTCCCTCAGGCAATTTGAAGGCTCCTTGCCTCAGGGTTTCAGGGTTACAGTGGAGAAGTTCAGTCATTCCTTCTGGGACACTCAGGCCCTGTCTCAGGTCCAGGGGTGTTATTTCTGCTCTTTGTCCTGCGCCAGGTACTCTGTCAGTATTAAGTTTTTTGTTTTTAGTAACATTTTAAATTTGAGTGTTTTGTTTTACTCTTTGGACATGTAAATATTTACAGTATCTCTTACTTCACGTTGCGCTATTATATCTGGTCTCAAATACTCTTCCAATCCCAGGGTGAGTGTTTCTCCAAGTTCTTTCTTTCCTGTCCTGTGTTACATGAGGTTTTCTTCCAGTATCTGTCTGTCTGACAGTGCTTGGCTGTCTCTTCACACGGGAACTACCGCAGTGTTGTTTGGTCTTCTGGACTCTTCGTGGGAACGTGGACCTGTGGCTTCACCACAGACCAGTGGTCGGAGGGGCTTGCTGTTTGCTGTTGGGCTGCCACAACCACTGGCAGTAGCTGTGGTCTTTTCTGTGAGGCCTGACAGTTTCCCCAGAATGGAATCCTCCAGCCAGCGTCTGGTTACTCAGTACGAAAGGGGGTCTGGAAGGCGGGGTGAATCCTTGGAGGGAGGTGCCTCACTTTCCCTTAGCCCTGCGTGACTTCGCGCACCTCCTCTAGGCAGTAAGTCCTCAGAGGAGGGAGGCGTCTTGTGCACTTTCTCAGCCCAGATCTCCCATCTTCTCATAGACACCTGATGCCTCTCGTTACTGAGCTTTTCTGAGGTTCTGTGGCTCAAGTCGGTGCCTTGTTTTAGGCTTTTAGCAGGCATTTGGCAGCTTACCATTTAGTGATTTGCTTTTGGTGTTTTAAATTACAATTAATGTTTTTCTTCTCTAATCTCCTTCTCACCCATTTCCATTTTTTATGAGTTTATATCTTTCAAAAATCAAGTCAGTTTAGTGGTTTGGAAAGTAATGAAGATAAACACACATTTAATCCACTAAGATCCACTAAAAATCATGCTTTAAAGTTACTCTGTATTTATGTGACATAAATTGAATGTAACTATTAAGTAACAAATCAGTGGAATTATTTCTCCAAATGTTCCTTAAAGAAACAGGCCCTGCCCGGCTGGGCGTGCTCAGTGATTGAGCGTCGACCTGGGATCCAGGCGATCGGGGTTCGATTCCCGGTCAGGGCACATGCCTGGGTTGCAGGCTCTATCAGTGACTCTCTCATCATTGATGTTTCTATCTCTCTCTCTCCCTCTCCTTTCCTCTCTCTGAAATCAATAAAGATATAAAAAAAAGAAACAAGCCCTTTTCACAGAATGTCCTCATGGCACCGAGAAAGCAGACACAGCGGGCGCAGTTTTGGCATCTAGTAGCGCCGGCACGCTCCAGTCCCCCTTCAGAGTCCTTGCTGGCCTAAGAATTGTGTGTCCTGGTCTCCCTGCGTTTCGACAGGGTGCCACCATGTCCCCTTTGTCACACTGTCCACACACGTATCTGTTTACATAGCCTCTCAGGGGAAGTAGAGTTGTAATGAGCATGGTCACATGTTGAAATTAATGGCCTTACCTCAAACATAACAAAACTAGAATCAAGAACCAAAATACAAGGGATTCGTCTTTGTTTTCTGAGTATTAACTGTACCTCAGTGTAGAACATCTTTCTTGGGACCTAAAACTTCTCATGGTGTCTAAGACACTGTACTTACCGTTCATGGTTTAGCTGCAAAATAATAGCTTACACTTGTTTACACATCAACTGAAATATTTTTAAATCCTCATCTGAGGGGTGAGGATATTTATTTTTTCCATTGATTTTTAGAGAGAGTAGAAGAGAGGAGAGAGAGACATCGATGGGTTGCCTCCCATACTCGCCCCACCTGTGGGTGGGGACGGAACCTGCAACCCAGGTCCGTGCCCTGGACTGGAATGGAGCCCGTGACCCTCCGGTGCAGAGGCCGATGCTCTAACTCCTGAGCAGCACCAACCAGGGTAAAGATACATTTTTTTAAAAACAGTTCCAACTTACTTTTAGTTGATCAGTTTTTATCTTAAAGTCCTAGTGTTCTATATGAATCTTCTTTTCCCCTTGCTGCAAGTGTAATTAGTTCATTTGGCTTCCTTGAAGGAAGACAGTCTGACTTGTTTTTTAAGGATCATATTTATACTTTAAATTTTTTGTAGCTTTCTTTACAACTTTTCTGTAACTCTTTAAGCAGTTCACTACCACTGAGATGCTAGTGGATGTGCATGGAATGTGGCTCTGCCCCTGTAAAAGGTTAATTCTCATATTTGCAGAACCGTGACTCTTGACCAGGCCACAGACAGTGCAAAAGTAATTGGAAAGGCTACACTGAGCATGTTTCACACACTGAAACTGAATATATCGGATATGAGAGGGGTAAGTATACAACATTTTAAACTTCTTTCTCTGATGTGTTTTCATTTGCAGCTTGATCTGAACATGGCCATGGTGGGCACAGGGTTTGTTTGCGGGTTTCAGCTCCTTCAATAGAAACTGAAAAACTCGACTTTCTCACCTGACCCAATCTCCTCATTTTTCAGAGAAGAATCAGATTTATTCTGAAATCTCTGTTTTCTGCCTAGAATAATTTTATAGCTTGAGTTTTTACAGTACCTTTCTTTTTAATTAACCAAGGGCTCATTTTACATGCGTCATCGTGCTTCCTGTTCTTGTGCCTCTAGAAATAGATGGGACCAGGAGGAGTGTGAATCTGCAATTCTTGTACCTATCAGGCCTTTCTAATCAGACATTTGTTCTGATGTCTGACGACAGTGACTAGAAGGTAGCATTTACCACAGGCACATGAAGATGCCTTTGGAACAGATAGGTGAGAGGGCATCAGAAACATAAAAACCTAATTTTCTTAAGGATTAACCTTGGTTGGTTCAGTTGTGTGTGTGTGCACACGTGAGTACAGGGTAGTAACTGGCTTGGTGTGGGTGCTGTGGGAGGATTAGGGTGCTCAAGGAAGCCGTGATGCAACTTCTTCCCGCGACACTGGGCTGAGGTTCTGTGCTGGTGTCAGGGTGGCTATCTACAGGTGCCCGGAGGGTACCCACTGCCCACCCACTCCCAGACCCATTTTTAAATATTTTATGTGAAGTTAGTTTGCAGGTAGATTGTCTTTGACTTAAGTATTTTTAAAATCTTATTTTAAAAACTTTGCTGGCTAGAACTTCAGTGAGATACAGCCTTCCACTTCTTTGGATTTTCCATGTTTGAAGAGATTACGTTGTATATGAGTAGAATGGGTACTGATTGAGGGGACTGTCTGCTCGCCGGGTAGCGTAGAAGTCATTTTTGTAATAAATCATGTAGAAGGCTGATGGAATACTTTAACATTATATTTTAAATAACAAGAGTAGATGTAAAAAGAGAACTTTCTGAGAATTTTGCTCAGTTGACTTCATATTTTGCTTTAGTTTTCCTAGAAACATATTCTCTCTTCTGATTCTAGGTTGGGATTCAAGTGAACCAGCTGGTCCCAGCTAATCCAAACCCTTCCGCATGTCCCAGTCACGCGTCCGTTCAGCCAGGCCACTTTCCCGGTGGCTCCCATTCTGTCCTGGACCTCTTCCAAGTTCAGAAAGGAAAGAAATCCACAGAAGAAGAGCACAAGGAAGGTCGGTGGAGTTCATGTGCTTCTCATTCTGGTGCCGCTTTCCTCAGGAAAGTCATTAATTTTAAAAGTAGTCTGGTGAGGTTCTTCGTGACCTTTTAGAAGCAAGCGGACACTCAGTGAATTATGATGAACAGTAATAAAGTTTGCGGGTTAAAGTGCCCCATCCCTGGCTGAGCTGAGAGGCTAGTTTATGTATTTTCTGTACTTTCAGTGTTTCTGGCCACAATGGATGTGGAAATATCGTCTGCCTCTAGAACTTGTACTTTGTTGCCATCTTTCTCCACGCACCGGACCCCAGCACTCAGTCCTGTTGCCAGCAAAGCCGAGCCTTCGGGGAAATGGAATGGTCTGCGTCCTTCCAGCTTAAAATCAAGGCTGAACCTGAGCATAGAGGTTCCGTCACCGTCCCAGGTATATTTCTAATTCTGAATACAATGAAAGTGCAGAAGTACTTTTACAGTAGGAATGGTACGTTTAATTTCTTTACCAGTATAGTTGAGAAAGGACAAAAGGGTGACACGTTAGGGCCACTGTGATATTTCCGAATTTCAAATGGGAAACGACTGGTTTAAGTGAAAGGTTTGTGCTTCTGCAGATCTGTAACCCTTGCAAAGTTGTAATTCGTGGATGAAAGCCAGTTCTGTGAACTGCCCCTGTTGTACCACAGTGCCTTTGTGACAGTGGCGGTCACACGCACTTCCTCTGTTGAGCACACAGTTCTGGTGATCACTAGAGGCGTGTGACAGGTTTCTCTTGCAGCACATGCAGTTTGCTGTGCAGTGACTTTCCTCACATAGCTGTCCATCCTGTTGGTGCGCCGTCGGTGTGGCGCACTGCTGTAGGCCAGAGGGGAAAGCTGATTTCTGCTGCACTAAGCAGGGGCCTGAAGCACATGTGCCGCTGGCTATAGACTAGGGAAAGGGGCAGTTGTGGTGTGTGCCCTGGGTCCCACTGGCTGGTGAGTTACCCAGAGGTAGTTGCTCCTGGCAAGGTCACATTGGCCTGCCCAGCTCATGGGCAGAGGGAGGACCTGGCCAGAATGGGGGATTCTGGTATGTAGGCTGGAGCATTTAGCTTTTTTCTAGCTGACTGCTCTCAACTTAGAATTATTTGTGCTCAGGGGCATATAGTTTCCTGTCTCAAAGGCCAATATCTGGCTTAGAAATCTGACATATGTGCCTTAGGCACTGGCCCCTTCCCATGTCTGGGGTCTGAGATTTGAGCCTGACAAAGGCTCCTCCTGTGTGTCTGCTCCTCTTGTTGCATATTTAGTGTGTGTGTTGACTAACCTGATCCTGTGGGACCACCAGTCATGTAGTGTCATCTGCAGTGTGCACGTGTGTCATTTCCAGCACACATTTCTACTCAGCCTTCAATGGCAGAAGGCTGGGGGGTGGCTTTCTTGGTCTGGTTATCTGCACGTGCACCTTACATTCATTAACCGAGATGGCAAAATTGAAATGAAAGTGAAGTATGAACTCTTTAAACATCTGAGCATGGCCTAACTTCCCACCCTCTGTACGGTGTTTTATAGCTTGATCCATCAGTTTTAGAAGCACTTCCCCCTGATCTCCGGGAACAAGTAGAGCAAGTTTGTATCGTTCAGCAAGGGGAGCCACTCGGTGACAGAAAGAACGAACCAGTAAATGGCTGCAATACAGGAATTTTGCCACAGCCAGTTGGGACAGTTTTGTTACAAATACCAGAACCTCAGGAATCTATCAGCGATGCGGGAATTAATGTGATAGCCCTTCCAGCATTTTCACAGGTAAGTTAAATTTAGGTGCCTTCTCTCAGCTTAGAGTCCCACCAATCCTACTCCAGCTAAGGGCTTGGCTCATTTTCTCTCCTTTGCACCCTAAACTCATCCGTCTCTGCCACGTCCATTGGGGGAGGAGGGGTGGGCTCATCTCCTCCCCATCTGCCAGACTGACTGACAGCAGCCTCTCCTGAAACCACCAAGGGCTGAGAAGAGGGAGGTGGCACGTGGGTGCTCACAGCTTCCACCCAGAGACGTCCTGTTCCCCATCTCACCGGCCAGAGACTACTGACTGGGCCACACTCGAAGAGTGGGGTGGAGACGCATAACCATGCGCCAGGACAGTGACACGGTCTCAAGACTGATGTCTCAGAAAACATTACACGAGCCTGTTTTATTAGTACCGCTTGCTCTGGTGGTTCAGTGGTTTTGTAAAAAAATTCATTTCATACTCAAAATTGTATTTCTTATTCTCATCCTGAAACCCCGTGAGGAATGGAGGACCTGTTAAGAATTCATACATATCAGGAAAGTATGATTTGAAAACGATCTATTTTGTGAAAAGTGTAAACCAGCTGCCACACAGAATCCACTCAGGCTTGACTTTGAACCTGCTCTGTTCCTCTAGGTGGACCCTGAGGTGTTTGCCGCCCTTCCAGCTGAGCTTCAAAGGGAGCTGAAAGCAGCGTATGATCAAAGACAGAGGCAGGGAGAGAGCAGCGCGCACCAGCTGCCGGCCGGCGCAGCCGGTAAGCTCGGGGCTGCCGGGCCACAAAGGGAACATGCGGGGAACTCAGTCATCGTCGTGCGCGATTGCTGTGTAATGGCCAGAATCTACGCTCAGTCATGCCAGGAGCTGCATGTTGGGGACTAGACTGGTACACAGCATGGTGAGGGACAGAGCTCGTGCTACCCTGCGCTGGGCACGCACTTCACTTTTTAAAGCCCTTTAAAAAAATAATGCCTGAAAAGCTGTTTCCAGCAACCTTTTTGAAAACGTGCCAAGCCCCTTGTCCTGAGACTGAGACACCCAAGGATGTAGGTTTAAAACAAAATCTGAAGGTTTCTGAGCAGGGATCACAAAACATTCACTGTGAAAACAGAACAGTTCCTGGTGAGCTGTTCATACTCCACCTGCTGGATTTTCATTGAGTCCTTGTGAGCACCCGTTGTAAGCGGGGGAGGCGGTGGCACAGGGAGCCTGCACTCAGCCTTTGTCGAAACTGCCTCCGTCTCAGCAGGAGGCCTTGTTGGGGGTGCGTGTGCGCAGGGGTTGGCTTTGGGGGGAGGAGAGAACCCATGCTACTATCCAGATACATTGGTTAAGTATCTTGTGTTTGTCATCTTTTAGTGCCAAAGAATCCATTACTTCAGCTAAAACCAGCAGCAGTAAAAGAATTGAAACGAAACAAGAGGAAAAATCCCATCAATTCCCCCAAAAAGGTTCAGAGCCCTTTGAAAAACAAGTTGCTTAATAGTCCTGCTAAAGTTGCGCCAGGGGCCGGTGGGAGTCCCCAGAAGTTAATCGATGGGTTCCTGAAACATGAAGGTCCTGCTCCCGAGAAACCGCTGGTAAGATTTTTTTACACCTTTTAAACTTTCATTTTTTATCGAATCTTGACGTACTTGATGTTAAATACTGTGCTTTTTATCATGTTTTCTTAATAGGGAGAACTCTCTGCTTCCACTTCAGGTGCACAGCCCGACACGTCTGGCTGTGTCAGACCCCCGGCACCCAACCTCGCTGGAGCCGTGGAATTCAGTGATGTGAAGACACTGCTCAGAGAGTGGATAACCACCATCTCAGGTTGGCTCGGGTGGGGGTCGGGAGCCGGAAACTAGATGTGTAGCGAATGGTCCTGTGGTTTTTACGACGTGAACAAGCTCGACTGTGTAGATGGAGCGCAGTGCTCTAAATCTAATCATTTCACTCGGGGGCTGGCTGTGAAAGTTCCTGCATAGCCTGTTCATCTGTGCTGTTGCAGAAATGCAGTTTCCTGTCCGACAGATGTGCTGGTTCTCATTGGAGGTTTTTCCCTCTAGATCCAATGGAAGAAGACATTCTGCAAGTTGTGAAATACTGCACGGACCTAATAGAGGAGAAAGATTTGGAAAAACTGGACCTCGTTATAAAATACATGAAAAGGTAAATTACTCGGTACTTGCAGAAGGGGCAAAGGGCAGGTCACACGGCTCGCTGAGGAAGGCAAGGCGCTGAGGAAGTTTTGTAGTTTCTGGCAGGCAGTTGCCTTACCTGTGCTCATCGAAGTTCATGGAAACAAGGTGCCCGTGAATTTGAGTCCCAGAGAAAGGAGTGCCGCGACACGGACCGGGTCACAAGGGAGGTCAGAATGAGTTTGTTCCCAAGGGTTATGTAGTTTAAAACCAAGGGCAGTCCTTTTGAGTGTTCTCGAGTTTGTTTGCCGGAAATGATTCTTGATTCGGATATTAAAATGTTAAAACCCTTAAATCCTAAAGATATGTTAAACTGAGTCTTTCTTGATGTTTCTTCTTTCCCCACCTCTAGGCTGACGCAGCAGTCGGTGGAATCAGTTTGGAATATGGCATTTGACTTTATTCTTGACAATGTTCAGGTGGTTTTACAACAGACTTATGGGAGCACACTGAAAGTCACATAAGTATGAGCAGGGAGCCTGGTGCTCTCGCTGCTGTGCCATAAGTGCTTGTGAGGTATCTACAAAGTGCATGGTAGTCATTTCAGATTTCTTTTTGAGCAAGTGTTTTGTACATTTCTTTTCAATAAGTGCCAAATTTGTCAGTATTGCATGTAAATAAGTGTTAATTCTTTTACTGTAGTATAGATTCTATTTACAAGATGTTTGTTTATAAAGTTTTATGGATTTTTACAGTGAAGTGTTTACAGTTGTTTAATAAAGAACTGTATGTATATTTTGTACAGGTTCCTTTCTGTGAATCCTTTAGGAATCAAATCCTGAACTGTTTGTTATACTCCAGGCTGAAAAACCTCCAACCCAGGCTTACAGACTCCTGAGAGGTCCCAGATGGGGTCCACTGTTTCTAACAGCCGTGTCACTCATACCCTGAAGCATGAACACAGGAGCATGTTAAAAACATCTTTACTTCTTCCAAGTGGAGGAATTTACATATTTTGAATTAAAACACACACAATTGAAGATTAAGCTTTTCCTGGGAAAATTATGTCCCACTGGTGGTTTGGACTTGTTTTCCTTTGCCTCTGTTGGCCCTTGAGAAACTTCAATAATGACGACGAATGGTACAGATTTTCGAGTGTACATAAGTATTTTTATGCTGTATGTTATGCCATAACACTTAAAAAATATAGTTTACTTGGGAACATTTTCTTCAAACACCCCACACTGACTTCATTTGACACTGATATAAATAGGCAGATCAGATCCTCGAGATCTGTTACAAGAATTAATCTTACGCTCAAAGATTTCTTATATTGGGGAAAGTATATATCCTCGTGTGGACCCACTACCCACACTTTTCAGGAAAAACCATAAAACTAGCTATAATCAGATTACTAATATGAATAAATCATTATGACATCTCCACGACAATGTAGAAGCAAGCACTAAGCCCCAAGCCCAAATAGTTACCAATTCCCTGTTGATTGTCTCATCAGAAAATGTATGCATGATATGACGTCCTAGGACAAAACAGACCGGGACTGGTGTATAAAAACTCCTAATGTCAACATGTGCTGGTACATTAGGTAGGAGACAGTTCATAAAACAGTTCTTGTCTTTAAAAGAGCGAGCTGGACACTCGTGGGAGAGAAGCTACGCTAACGCGGAGGCCTAGCCGAGCTTTCTGGTGAATGTGTTCTCTTTATTAGAGTCAGAATTGTGCTGATTACAGTGGACTCATGACTAGACAAGCAGTCGATAGCAGCCAGCTACACTTTACACCACGGTTTCACACAAAGCAGCTAAGGAAATACCAGAATGCCTAATTTCTATTTAAAAAATTCCTAAGGGCATATGGCAGAATGTTGGGGGGAAAAATGACTATGGGAAGGAGATGCATAAATAAAGTATTTCTTACATCAAAAGTCCCAAGAATCACAAAATCTGCAGAAGCTTGGTTAATCAAATACTGCAGTACTGATTTAATCAGTATAAAATCGAAAGAATGTTAGATCTGTAATAAAAATCCAAATTTGGGGAAGGGCAAACTTTAAAACAGCAGCCAAGTAGTGGGGTGGGGTGGGGAAGGAGCGGGCGAGTGGACAGGCACGTTGGAACTGTGGGGACACGTATTCGACCACTGTCAAACCAGTGTAAGTTTCTTGGTTTCTCATGGAAAACATTTTATACATCTATTTTTTTCCTTCCATACTTTTAAGTGCGTCAGTGTCCAGATACATCCATTCCATTTTTTATCTTTTCTTGCATTTACTCCAATTCTTGCCCCATGTGGAAAAATTAGATGATTTCAAATACTTTCTTCAGCTCCACAATAAGCTGCCAGTCGCTCTTCTGCATCTCATCTCTGAACCAGTCTTTCAGAGCATCGATGGACTGCCGGCTGATCTGCAAGGTGTGAGGCACAGACAGAACACAGTGTAACCAACAAGTGCCTGAGAAAAGCCGGTGGCCCAGTCTGTCCCCAGATGTTGATCACTGCGGAGAATGCTAAGGCAGCGATGCTGGGCGAGTCCAGCAGAAGGGACCTGGGAGAGCTGGCAGGCCCTCGCTGTGAGCTTTTCGCATCGGCCACGCTACAGATCAAGCGCTGATGAAGACTAGTCCCTTGGAGCTACTGAGTGAAGGGGAGCAGGGCAGAGTCACTGCCCCTCCCCGCCCCCTTCCAAGGTGCCACTCTCTTGGACACTTACCTTACTGACGAGAATGTCTGTAGCTTCAAAATGTCTCCCATACATTTTGGGAGATTCACCCGGGATAGGTTCTATTTTGACGCACACTTCTTGTCCTTTTTTTGCAACATCCACTTGTTTATGGTTTATTTCAATGCTTGTTACTATGCCAATGTCAACAAACTGTAAAATACGGACAAAGGACAATGTAAGCAGAGGACTCTTGCCCGTCGCAGGCACCTGAGAGCTGCAGCGCTGAGGAAGAATGTTCTTAGAGCACAAAGGACAGTTCCAAAGCCTTGCTGCAACTGTCCACGGCCACATGATCTCCAGGGTGGAACGTTCTCACTGATAAACTAGGGGTGACAGCACACATCGTCTGCCCTTCACAAGACGGCTGTAAGGCTGTGCTTTGGGAAACGTGCAAAGTGCTGTCAACCCAATGCCATCTGCTCTTCACGTGGCAGGTGCTCAATGCTTTGAATCAGGAATGAGCTCCGAGTGGCTGGTATGAGCAAGGAGGTAAGGAGCAGGGGATGGAGTCAGGGAGGCAGCCGAGGCCCCACGGGCCCTGGCAAGAACTCTGCATTTCACTCTGGGGAGTTAGGAGCAAGTGATTCTCATTACAGGGGTGGAGGGACGCCCTCTGCTGTCTGCCTTGGGAAGAGATACAGGAGATTGAGGAGTGAAAACAGGGCGGCCAAAGCCACATAGATGATAACTGCAAATAAACGTCCTAGCTCAGTCCACTGAAATGGTACAGAAACAATGGCCTCTAAGCACCACTGCCCACTGAAGGAACAGGCCTGGGGCAGGGAAAGGACGAGAGGAGCTGGGGCAGCTTCCTGCACCAGAAGGAAGGAGCCGCTGCAAGTGCACGTGGCTCCCATGGACCAAACTGGATTAATTTAGCAATCAAGACATTTTAAAAAACGGAACTAAGTATATAGATAATGGAGAAGTAGGGGGGATGAAGGTTCTTACAGAGGGCACGGGGATCACAACTATGTAACCTATGTAGTAACTGACCTATGCACGGCCAGTGGTTTAAGCTTCTGGGATAAAGGCTGAGGAATAGATCATAGGGACTCAAAGTACCCCACAAGTAATTACAAAGCGGGAAAGGTATGTCCCTAATGGCGATGCTGACAGCACACTCCACTGACAGCAATCAAAGGTCACCGACAGAGACCTGTGTGAGATGCTCGAGGCACACGGGCACCTGTGTACACAGGATCCTCCACCTAGTCTCGAGGAAACCACCAGACAAATGGAAGCGGAGGAATACCCTGGAAGCAATGGTCTAGGCACAGCAGGAAGGATGGGGCTGTTCCTGGTTGAGACTGACACACATCATAGCCAAGGCCAGTGCAACGTGAAGGGATCCTGGACCAGCCCAGTAGGTGGAAGTAGTAGGACATGTTGGGGACAATTGGTGAAATGTGGATGAGGACTGTAAGTTGCAGTTTTCATTAACTGAACCACTGGTCAGGTGCTAATAACCAAAACTAAAGGAAATGCTGACATTTAGCAAGACTGGGGTACAAGTTACAGAAGGTGACACGCTCTGCTTGGTTTATTTTTTGTCACCATTTTTGGGCTCCCATTTACTGCTTGAGATGACACGTCGTTCACTTACATTTTTGCTGGGGACACACATGGGGGTCCCCTGCTTCACCTGACCTGCTTCCACTGTCACGCCCATCACTATTGGGTCCCGAGAATTGAAAATATACTGAGGGAGGATTTTCATCTTGCAGGGAAATACGGCTATGTGCCTAAAAGGAAAAAAAACCAAGGATTTTTAAGCTTACAAAGTCACTTAAACTAAAAAACAAATACAGGAACACAAGGCTGCTTCCCTCACATAAGAGCAGTTTTCCCAGCAGCCCCAGCTGAGCAGCAGCGCCACTGTTCCACCCAGTGGTGGGTGCTCTACCCATGGCACCTTCTGTGGCTTCATTCACCCCCTCGCTGCCCTGTCCATCTGGGCTTCCGAGGTCTGAGAAGCTGCACCACAGGAGCATCTGGTGCCCACGCTGAAGGGTTTGAGCCCTGCCTCTAAGACGGGGCTCAGGAACCCAACCTTGGCGGGACACGCTTTCAGGTGTGGCACGCGTGGAGTCTGTTCTGGGGACCACACAGGCATCAAAGCACAGCCTCCACTCTCCAGCAAGCTCCCAAATCAGTGGATCCAGAAGTCCACTATTTCCCTGCTTATCAAGCATATGCTCAAAGCGCTCTCATAGCTTCTCGCTGTCTTAATGGAATTTAAGTCTTCTCACGTTAGGTTTCATGATCTACAGCGAGCATGTCTCAATCTAAATCCTAGTATTCACAGGTCTGCACTTTCAGAATATACCTCAGACTGAGCCATTGCTCCCTATGTTACTCTGCTCTGAGCCACTGTTGTGTCTGGCTTGGACCGTGGGAGCATCCAAAATCCTTCTCATGGCCACAGAGTCCTATGTGCTTTGGGTCCTGCTGACTCCTCCGAACTCATCTCCCCCAAGGTCACTGTGTGAGGGCTGCTGTCCAGTGCTGCCCTTCTGCCTCGACACTCCGTGTCTACGTGGCTCATTCATTCCCTAGATCTCAGAGATGAGCTGTGTCCCGAACCGCACTACTAACCACAGCTCTGCTCTCCTTATCTGGGCCCTCCCGCTTTATTTTGCTTTTTAGCACTTATCCCCACTTGCAATGTATTCATTGCGCATCTCTCTCCTGAGCTCCAAGAAGAGGGGACATGGTCAGGGTCACTGCTGACTAGTGCCTGCAGAGAGCCACTTACACCGGCACTATATCAAGTCTGAGCAGGAAGGAGCTTCACTCTGTGGAATGCCTCGCTTTGATTCATTCCCTAGATTTCCACACTCGAATTTTGTTACTTCCATTCCACGCAATCCCGGATAAGGAAGATAAAGTCCCCATACGCAACAACTACTCAACCATGAATGAGACCTAGGTCTGCCAAATTGAAAATGGAAAACCACCCAAACCAGGAAGGCTGCAGGAGGCTCTGCCCCGCACTGACGGATGGAACAGGCGGCAGCCCCAGGTGCAACATGGCACTTCGGGTGCAGCCTCTGGCA